GGTGGAAACAACCTTAATCTGGATAATTGAAGATACATTGGGTTTGATCTAGGGTTCATAGAATTGTTAGTAATTCGGGTAATTAGTGATTGTTTATTGATTTCCGTATTATATTTGATTGTTTGTAGACCAAGAACAAGTGGATCGAATCTGGAAAGGGAATGATCAAGTTTCTTAGGGTTTCAAGCTTGTTTCGAGGTAGGTGATGGTCGTGATTCTATGATTGTGTGATGTATGTTTGTTCTTGCTTCATTATGATACTTGTGTGTATATGAATGTTGCATTATTGCTCACACTTGTTGTAAAGAGATAAATAAAAGATGGTTACCATGAAATCATGACTTAAATGCATGTTCTTGAGGATATACTTATGATTGTGATTGTGGTGTGTTGAATGGATCGGTTGCCACGTTCTGGCATAACTAACTTGGATCGGTTGCCATGTTCCGGCATAGCTAACTTGGATCGATTGCCACGTTCCAGCATAACTATGGGATCGGTTGCCACGTTCAGGCATAATTATAGGATTGGATACCACGTTCCGGTATGCTAACTATTTGGTTTTGGGTTCCATGAGAGGACCAATAATTTGATATAAATGTGAAGTTGTTCGTTGTTCGTAAATGTTGATAATATTGTATATGTTGATATATATGCATGTGATTATAATGTTGTCTTGGCTTACTTATGTTGCACTTAGTGGGATAGCCGTGTGATCCTACCAGTACACTGTGGTTGTGTACTGATACTACACTTGCTCTTCAAGCGGCTACTGACAGACCTCGTTTAGGAGATTAGTGATCGTTCGAATTCAAGGGTGAGCCAATTCTTCCGAGCTGCCATGGGTTCTTTTTTGTCTATGTCCACCATTTCCTGACTTAGACTATATTCTATTAGTTATTAGTACATTAGTTGGGGGTTGCATCCCTTCTTGTTGAGACTTGGTTCATTGTTAGATATTTTGGTACATTGACTTTCAGATTCTAGGTTATTTCTTCGACATTGTTTAGTTCTTGTTAGACTTTTGTTGGAGTTTATGGGAACTCCCTATTTATTTCCTTAGTGTTTAACTTGCTTCTGTAACTTAATGCCTTAGTTTTTAGATTAGTTGTTTGGTTTGAGTTGTAGTAGCGGTTCTCCCACCGGAGTGTTAGTGTGGGTGTCAATCACGAAGGTCTGGTCGTGACAGTGATAAATGCATTAGCTTTATGACAATTCTTACGTTGATATGTAAATGAAAAATAATATTTTAATGGAAAAATCACCTCATACATCTAATTAAGGGTTATTATTACCTTATTTATATCTACTTTTTTTACTACTTATAAAGTTTTTAATTACAATATGTGCTTACCAAAAAAGGAAGGAGGTTTGGGATTTAGGTCCCTGCATGAAGTTAATAATGCTCTTTATGCAAAACTCTGGTGGAATTTCAGGGTATCCATATCATCATTATGGAGCATATACATGGGAAACAAGTACGGCAAGAAACTACATCCTATCGTGGCAAAGTGTGTTGGAGCATCTCATGTATGGAAGAAAATGGTGGCTATGCGAGATGAAATCGAACATAAGATTTGGTGGCAAGTAAAGGCTGGAAATTCCAGTTTTTGGTTTGATAACTGGACGAAACAAGGTGCTCTATACTTTACAGAGGGGGAATCTACCATGGAAGAGGAGATTGAGGTAAAAGAATTCTTTGAGAATGGCATATGGAAGATAGATAAATTGAGAGAATTTATTTCAGAAGAAATGACAGAGTATATCATCGAAAACATCAAGCCTGGTATGACTGAAACTCTGGATAAGGCTTGGTGGATGGGGAACTCTACAGGTGAATTCACTGTCAAATCTGCTTACCACTTAGTACGACATAAAAGAGACAAGATAGAGTGGAATAACTGTATGTGGTTAAAGTGCTTGTCTTTTAAGATTTCCTTCTTCATATGGAGAGTTTGGAAGAAAAGAATTGTCACTGATGACAACCTGAAAAGAATGAGGATGAATATAGTCTCTAAATATTATTGTTGTGATAGTGGAGAAATGAAAACCATGACACATTTACTACTAACAGCTCCCATAGCTCAAAGGCTATGGAAGCAGTTTGCTTCTTGTGCAGGTATTATTATTGGAGGACAACAGTTACATAAATTAATTTTCCAATGGTGGGAATATGATGGAAATCCTAAAGTACAACACATAATGAAGGCCATTCCAGCTATTGTCATGTGGGAACTCTGGAAAAGAATGAATGCGAAGAGACATGACAAGGAAATTTCTTTCAACAAAATGTACTCACAATGTCAATTGACAGTACATCAGCTTATTAGAGCCAAATATCCTTGGCTAAGAAATGTTCCTTATCACTGGGCTGGAATGATTGATTTGCTTCAGAATTATAAACTCAATCTTTACTTTCGTATTGTCAAGTAGGAGGCACCAGATCAAGGATGGGTCAAGTTCAATACAAATGGGGCAAGCAAAGGCAACCCAGGGGAGAGTTCATATGGTTTCTGTCTAAGAAATAGTTCGGGGGATCTGTTATATGCTGAGGCTCGGAATATTGGTATAACTACAAACATGGAAGCAGAAATAATAGCTATGTGGAATGCATTAAAATATTGCAAAAGACAAGGCATCAGTAACGTCATCTTAGAGACTGACTCTTTGAGCCTTAAGAATATGATTATGAGGGATTGAAAGATACCATGTAGCTTAACTGAGAAAATAGAGGAGATACAGGAAATTATGGCTAACATACATATTCAGGTGATGCACATTTTCAGAGAAGCGAACCAATTAGCAGATTGCATTGCTAACTTAGCTATAAATCAAGAGGAGAAACAACACTATGACAGTTTTCATAATTTACCGAGCAGGGCAAGAAAAAATTGTAAACATGGATAAACAACATACACCTACAATCAGAATTAGAACAAAAAGAATAAAACAGTCACCAACAAGATAAGTAGAAGAAGGATCACAAGTTCACATATTACAATTACAAACTAGTTTGTGGTCAGACCATTGGCAAAATAGGTACGCGAGATCTAACCAGTCTGAGCTATAACAGCCAACAAAAACAATAGAGTCACCAGCAAAAACGAGAGTAAGATTGGTATGGAAGTCCTTGTGCACAGTGAGGAGAACTACAAGAAGGGAGTAAGGGAGGCCGATTAGTGATGACAAAAGAGGGGAAAGGGGAGCACTTATATGAAATGAGCATCACAATTATGGAGAAAGAGGAGAAATTGATACCTTTAATAGCCTATCAATACCAATACTCCTCTCTGAGATGGAGAACGTGGATGACCCAAAAGCGAAGGAGAGTGAAGCTCGAGATGAAAGGCCATGGCAGAATCTTCAGCGATGGATCTTAGAGATGAAAGAGGAAGGAGAAGTTGCTGCTCAATTTTTCAGAATTCCTAATTTCTAGAGTTCTGTCTTTTTTCACCTAAAGAGTGGTCATGTTTGGACCCTCTTTTGTATATATTTGTTTCCTATTTTGTATAATGGGCTCATCTTGAGTCCATTAGATTTTCTTAATAAAGTCGGATCACAGGTCCAAATTTGATTTATTTATTTTTTTAAAAAAATTTACAAGTATTAGCAGAACAGTTTTAGTTTATATATTAACTAGTTGTATTTTAATAATTAATTTATATAATGTTAATAGGTGAGAGAAAGAGAAAATTATGAGAGAGAATAAGTTGCTAATTATCAATTACATCTTTCAAGGAAGAGTCTCACATACCCACGTTTCTCTTTCCACCATGGTTACTCTTTCTCTTCCAGCTTCTCCATTGTTCTTCTTCTCCATTCAAACAGAAACTTCCACAAATTTTGTATACAGTGTCAAGAATCAAATTTTTGGTTCTCAAACAAACATGTCGAAGAATAAAAAAGTTTATCATACACCTAAAAAGAGTCCAAGATTTGTAGAGGATTTATCTAATCTTGAAATAGAGCCTCCAAGTTTTCATATTTTAACTCAAATTTCGTCGCCCAAGATGAATGCAACTCCGGCGAAGAAGAGTGTTAGCCATCCAAAGAAAAATCAAAACCCAGTGAAGGGGAAGAAACAATAATCAAAGAAAATCCACTCCTTCAAATTGTAAGGGACTATAAAGGAAAGGGAAAATGGTGGAACCTCTATTGTCTGAGTGTTCAGACTCCGATTCAAATTTTGGAAGTAAAAAGTAATAAAAATTACAAAGATCTCTTTTTGGTATGAACCTTGTATTAACCAGTGTTTATTGTTGGTATGAAATTGGTATATATATTGACAAAAAAAATTGTATGCATTTCGTATACTATTTATATAGCAAAACATAATTACCAATTACAATTGTTTTGAAATTGATATTCTTTTGGTATGAATCTGCTATGAACCAATGTTTACTTTTGGTATGAAATTGGTATAATATTGCCAAAAGGCTTGTATGCATTTGGTATACTATTTATATGACAAAACACAATTACTAGTTGCAATTGTTTTAAAATTAGTATTCTTTTGTATGAAATAGGTATGAAATTTGATGCCCCAACAAATTTGTGGACTATTATATTTATTATTGATGTATAGAAAGTGTATAAAAATAGGTATCAGTTAGTAAAATTTAGTTTAGTATGTATAAACATTTTTACTATATGAAATAGGTATGAAATTTGATACCTCAAAAATTTTATGGAATATTATATTCTTTATTGATGTTTAGAATGCATATAAATTGGTATCAATTAGTAAGTTTAATTTAATATGCGTAGATATCTTACGGTATGAAATATGTATGAAATTTGATATTCCAATAAAATTGTGAATTATTATATATTTTAGAAAGTGTATAAAAATTGGTATAAATTATTATTGTAGGTATTAATATTTTACTATGTGAAATAGGTATGAAAGTAGATACCCCAACAAATTTGAAATTATTACATCTTTTATTGGTGTTTAAAAAGTGTATAAATTCCCAACTACCCATGAGTAAAGAACAACAAATTGTGTATTATTTTTAAAAAGTGTATCAAATATTAAATTTACTATAGTATATATAAATGTTTGTATCCATATTCTGCATTGAAATGTTTTGCTGGAATGATCTTTGTGTACACAAAGAAGGCCACAACCAATAGTTGGCCCAACCCAAATGATCCAATGTCCATCCCAAAGGTGACCTCCTCTAATAAGCGCGGGCCCCAACACCTCGCCGGATTAATCCCCGCCCCTCCATAGCCCTTTTTCCCGGTGACCGTGGTCGAGATAAACACTAGAAGGCCTAACACTACACCAACAATGGACAAGTCCAAGAGAACCCTAATAATACTACACACATGATTTGAATATCTTGGTTAATGAATAATGGCACATCAATTCTTCACAACCTTAGAGCATTGCTTATTAACAAAGTCCTTAACCTCAAGAATAAGTTGTGTAGCTTCAGGAACCTCAGGGAAAATGTAGAAAGCATGCACCATAGTTGGATACTCTGAGAAGTGAACATCTTTGCCAGACCTCTTAAGCCAGTCATAGTACCTCCTTTGCCAATCTTTAAGGGGATCAAAACCACCCACGACTACCATCGTTGCTGGAAAATTGTCCAGCTTTGATATGTCAACAGCCCTTGGACCGCAAACATTAATAACCTCATGATCGCGATCCATCCCTTCACCTGGTGGCAGGAACGCGTTCCACATCCAATCTGTTCTTCTCACTGATATCAATGCGTCAACTTCTACTAGTTTTAATTCTGATTCCGTTCGTTCCTCCCCTCCAAAAAAAGGTTGTATAGCCACCAGTCCAATTACCTAGAGCACATAATACAGAATCAAGGGAATTTGTCCCTTCAGTTTAATATGCATAGATTTTGGGCAAACAGGGTATATACATCTTTAAAAGTACCACTATTTCATACTAGTGAGTAGTGACATTCAAAATAAATACTTCTTTACACTTGACAAATTCCATGTAATTTGCGGGCGTGGGAGAAGTTTCTAATTAGAATCAAGCACGCAACCAACTGTGATCGTGAAAAAGTGAAAAGACGGTAAGGCTTGATTGTCAAAGGAAGAAAAATATGTACTAGACTCTAGAACAATTAATGATTGAGATTGGCTTCCTCACAAATTATTATTTTTTGTTCAGAGGCACATGTCTATTTTTTTTATTTTTTTTAAGATTTCAAAAAGGCATAATGTGTCTTTTAACTTGACAACATTTTATAGTTGTGTCCTTCAATTTTGAGTGTGCCTAATATTTCCAGTTGTGTCCATCAATTTTGGGTGTGCACAAATAAGTATTTTAATTTATATAAAGTTGAACAAGTAGACACATGTGTCCTACGTGACATAATACACATAAGACACCACGTAAGATGAAAATTGTCATGTATGATGCCACATAGGACGCGTGTGTCTATTTATTCAATTTTATATAAGTTTAAATGTCTACTTGTACACACCTAAAGTTAAAGAACATAAATATGAGTTGAAGTCAAATTAAAGGACATATTTATATATTATGCCTTTCGTATATAAATACTGAGCCACTTTTGTTCAATTTCTCTCTTTTTTATCAGAGTTGACAAAAATGGAGACTTGTAATACTATTGTTTCCATTGTTGGACTCCAAACTATAACTGCCTGTTTGGTTAACAAATGGAAAAGCATTAAAGGAAAGAGATACGTACAAATATCTACTAGGGATTTTCTGAGGAATAATTGGTTAATATAATGATCATCTTCTAAGTACTCTTTTTGCCTACGGAGATCATTATATATAGTAAGTACAAATATATGTTTATTTGTACTAACATAATTACTAATTTAATTTTTATTATTATATTTGATTATATAAGTGTAATTATTAAATTAAATATTTTATTTTAAAATAAAAATTAAACGAATTTATTTTAGATGAACAACTAAACAGACATTAATGTGTGACAAATACATGTCAGTAAGACACATTAAAGTTTACTTATAATTAGATGTAAAATATGTATTTTTAAAATCATATCAAATAATTATAAATTGGTAACCAATATCGTAACAATAACGAGTATCTTCCAATTCATGTGAATTTAATATAAAATCATATTTTGTTGCATTTTTTAAATTACAAAAAGACACGAGTTTAGTACGTTTTTTCTACTATAATTATTTAAATAATGAATCTAGTAAAATATTAGTAAATTATTTTAACAAATGTTTAGTCATTTAATTTAAATGAAAGAGAAAGGGGGTAAAAAGAATACTATTTTGAAAAATAAAAATTTAAAAGTTATTGTGTAATTTAATTATGTAATTACTAGCAATTTTTCATCACTACTAAAAATTAGAGAGTATAAACTCTAAATTTGTAAGTTTTTTTAAAAATAGAACTTGAAAAATTTATTTGTTTTGAATATTACTTTAATTCCAATAATAAAACATAAGGCTCTTAAGCATTTGAAGCTTTTATCTACAAATTGTTCTTAGTATTTACCATGAATAATTATTTGAGGGAAAAGGGTATGATATACCCTCCACTTTGTCATTTAGAGTTGATATACATCTCGTAATGAAAGTGACTCATATATACCCTGATGTTATAGAAATGGCTCGCATATACTCTTTTCTTCTAACGGAAGTGAAAAAATTAATTATTTAATCTTTTAATTAATATTTTTTTGAAAAAATATAATCTATATGGAGTATATTTGATCCTTCTCACACGTTTTTTTTTTACTTTTTGTTTCAACGACTAATTTAAATTTATTATTTTGATGGTCAAATTTATTTTTATTTTTTTATAACCGAGAAATTTGTCTGTGACCCGCCCTTTGGACCAATCACAACCTTCTAAACTCGGTGGATAATGGGCCCGGTCAAATTTATTTATATTTCACTAATTTTCTCATAAAATTTACTATAGATGCTCAATTTTTTTATTTTAGTTTTACAAATACAAAAACTAAATTACAATATAGCCGCAAAAAAATTAGTTTCAATTTTTTTCTACTAAAGAATGAAACAAAAAAAAAGAATAAGAAACTCGAATAATGATAATCTAAGAAGTCAAAAAATAATTTTCGTACGAAAAAGATTAAAATATACCTTGAACTTCGTTAGAAGGATCTTATATATATATATACCCTAAATGATTTTTTTAAAATTTTAAAAAATAAATTTAAAACTATTTTTTTCACTTCCGTTAGATAAAGGGTATATGTGAGTTCATTTTGTAACAGCAAGGATATATGTGAGTCATTTCTATAATGGTAAGAGTATATATGAGTCACTTTCATAACGAGGGTATATCAACTATAAATGATATAGTTTGGGGTATATCAGGCCCTTTTCCCATTATTTAATAAGCTTAAAATTAAATAAATTATAAAGTAAGGGATCTTTTGACAGTTGAATAAGAAAGGAGGTTATTTATGTATTAATTTTCTCTATTAACTTATACGAATGTTTCGTAGGTAGTTAAGAAATAAGTTATTTATTTATAAAATTAATATAATGTTTGGTTGACAATTTATAAACTCACATAACAAATATATGTATAAGTTATGAGAAATCTATGTATTATTTTAGATTAGGGTAAAAGATAGAATCACTAATACACGTATAACTAATACATGAATAATTAATACCGTTATAAAATAATATTACCGCTACGCTACCCCACCTAACCACCCCAAACCCGATAATCAACTCGAACTCTCTAGGCCGGATTTGAATTTTGCATTTTTTTCCCTGGACAGTCTGGCCCTTGATTATAATTACACATGCTAAAAGGGCATGAAATTTTGGATTTTTTCCCAACTTTTCTCAAGTTAAGATTAGAGGTTTAATTTTGAATCGAGTGTCGGAATTGAATCTCGAATGAATGATGTAATAATTCTTACCTATTTTATACAAAAATAATTATTTTGATTAAGAAAAAAAACTCGATTATGTATTTGATCAACCTCATTAATTAGGCTAACGTCTTTTTCCTATTAGTATTAGATGTGTGATCAACCTCGTCCATCTGCCCAAAGATATATCTGGTTACAACAATATAATGCAGATGGCTGGTGAGGTACGATAGCCCTTATCAATTCTATTTAATACTCTTCTAAAGGAGGTTAAAACACACCATGTGAACACAAATAATATGTAGATGTTAAATTTTTACATATAATGCTCCTTCTTCTTTTGTATCACTCCCCTAAATAAGGTAAAAACACAAATGTGAACACAGATAAAATGTAGATGTTAATTTTTTACATATAATGCTCCTTCTTTTTTTTTACCACTCTCCTAAATGAGGTTAAAACACATCATGTGAACACAAATAATATGTAGATGTTAAATTTTTTACATATAATGCTCTTTCTTCTTTTATATCACTCTCCTAAATGAGGTTAAAACACACCATGTTAACACCAATAATATGTAGATGTTAAATTTTGCGTATAATGCTCCTTCTTCTTTTTTTACCACTCTCCTAAATGAGGTTAAAACACATCATGTGAACACAAATAATATGTAGATGTTAAATTTTTTACATATAATAATGCTCTTTCTTCTTTTTTATCACTCTCCTAAATGAGGTTAAAACACACCATGTTAACACCAATAATATGTAGATGTTAAATTTTTACGTATAATGCTCCTTCTTCTTTTTTACCACTCTCCTAAATGAGGTTAAAACATACATGTGAACACAAATAATATGTAGATGTTAAATTTTTTACATATAATAATGCTCTTTCTTCTTTTTTATCACTCTCCTAAATGAGGTTAAAACATACATGTGAACACAAATAATATGTAGATGTTAATGTTGTCACATGAGATTAAAACACACCATGTGAACACCATCGACTTTTCCTTCTTCTTTTCTTTTTAAAAATAATTATGTACTAAAAGTGATAAACTCTAGTAACTTATTTTAATAAATATGGGTCAAGTGGTATACTATATTAAATAAATTATAGGCTTAGCTCCTTAATTACAAACTAAATTAATTATTTAAAACTTACCCATTAATTAATTATCCATTATTAAACGAATAGTTCAAAATTAACATTAAAATTTTATAAAAAGGGTCTTTTATGAAAGAGAGAGGACTAAATCTCAAAATGATCTAACGGGTCATTATATTATACACCACTAAAAATCATGTTCACCCTAACAATTAATTAGTTCAATCAATAAATTAAAGTCTCCAATCTTTATAAGAAGGCCTCAAAAGACCAATTCACTCTATAATATATTTATTTTTACACGAGACATTAACATATTTTTGTACAACAATAAAAAAGAAAGAAGGCGCATTATATAAAAAAATGTAACCTCTAAATATTATTTGTGTTCACATCATCACATGGTGTGTTTTTACCTCATTTAGGGGAGTGATAAAATAGAAGAAGGTGTATTATATGCAAAAAAAAATTAACATCTACATATTATTGGTGTTCACATGGTGTGTTTTTACCTCATTTAGGTAAGGGTGTGCCCTATTTGGATTAAACCGAAAAATCAAACCAAATCAAACCGAATTCTAATTTGGATTGGTTTTTTGGATTTCTGATTTGATTTTGGATTTATAATTTACTTTGTTTGGTTTTTTGGTTTGGTTTCGGATTTAGAAAAATGAAAATCGAAAAACCAAAAAAACCAAATATAATGAAAACCGAAAAACCATATATATATATATATATATATATATATATAAAATTAAGTTGGAGTTAATCACTTTTGTCAGTTTTAAGTTATTTTTTTTTTATGATTTAGTTTATTTTTTATGTTTGGACATCTACAATTGATATACTTTTAAGTATTATGTTTTACATTTTTACTTGTGATTATATTAGAAAGTATATTGAAGAAATTCAAATTGTAAATATAACTTTATTATGTTTCTAATTATTGACATAACCAATTAATCGAACCGAAAAAATCCAAACCAAATAGAGAAATACCAAACCAAACAAATTTATTTTGGTTCGGATTGAGTTACACTTCTTCAAAATAAAAAACCGAAAAATTCAAGCCGAATAGCATAAAACCAAACCGAAAAATCGAATACACACCCCTACATTTAAGGGAGTGATAAAATAGAAGGGTGCATTATATGTAAAAAAAAATTACCATCTACATATTATTGGTGTTAACATGGTGTGTTTTAACCTCATTTAGGAGAGTGATAAAAAAGAAGAAGAAGCATTATATATATAAAAAAAAAATTAACATCTACATATTATTTGTGTTCACATTATGTGTTTTAACCTCATTTAGGAGTGGTAAAAAAGAAGGAGAATTATATGTAAAAATTTAATATCTACATTTTATCTGTGTTCACATTGTGTGTTTTTACCTTATTTAGGAGAGTGATACAAAAGAAGAACGAGCATTATATGTAAAAATTTAACATCTACATATTATTTGTGTTCACATGGTGTGTTTTAACCTCATTCAGGAGAGTATTAAATAGAATTGATAAGGGTTATTGTACCTCACTAGTTATCTACATTGTATTGTTGTAACCAGATATATTTTTGGGCAAATGGACGAGGTTGATCACACATATAATTCTATTAGGAAAAGGATGTTAGCCTAATTGATGAGGTTGATCAAATACATAATCTGAGTTTTTTTTAATCAAAATAATTATTTTTGTATAGAATAGGTAAGAATTCTTACATCCTTCATTCGAGATTCAATCCCAACACTCGATTCGAAACTGAACCTCTAATCTTAACTTGAGAAAAGTCCGAAAAATCCAAAATTGCATGCCCTTTTAGCATGTGTAATTATAATTAAGTTGGGATTTCTAAATAATTTCTAAATAAGCTCTTTAAATACCTCTGACAAAATATGCTCCTATTACCTATAATATTAATGGTGCGTGGTAAAAAGTCTTAACTTCAAGAGTAGAATTCTATTAATGTCAAACGAATTACTCCTTTGTGAAAAATGTGTAGAATTTCTACTTCTAAGTTCTAATCTCACTAACCTTGAGTCCTAATTAAGCTTACAAATATCACAAAATTAAAGAGAAAGAGACACAATCTTGAAAACACTAACCACTATTGTCATACGATTCGCACTACTAAACCCCAAATCAAATGAAGAATTGGAAAGCGAAGAAGACGATCAAATTGGGATGGAGATGACATAAAAGACAAGGAAAAAAGGAGGAATAAGGTGGAGAAAATGACCGTGCAGGTATCGGTATGGTGGAAAAGATAATTAATATAAAGAATTATAATAAAGAAGATGATTGTATGGGTATGGATTGTGGCGGAAAGAACAATAAAAATGGAGGAATATGATGGAGAAGATATTGTGTAGGGATGGGAGTGCTGATTTTTTCTTTTAATTTATTGAAACCTTTTTTAAAAATTTATTTGGATAAATAATTACATGTCGTTTGTTCATTGGTCACTTTTATCTATTTTGATCCTTACTTTATATTTTTAAAATGACATGACTTGAAATGACTTGGCAGTTGGCATGATATAATTAAGCGCACAAAGACTTAGAGATTGTTTGGTGTGAGGGTTGAAAATAAATAGTTATAGGATAAAATTATTGTATCTTGTTTGGTTGTCATATTTAGGATAACTTATTCCACCATTTATAAGGAAAAGGGTCAAAAATACCCCTAAACTTTAGTTTATTAGTTGACTATACCTCTGTCATTAAAACAAAGTTATTTATACCCTCGCCGTTATCAATTTCACCATTTATACCCCTCAATTGACGAAAAAACCCAAATTGACTCAACTTAATCCGAATTTTAAGAAAAAACTCATTCCCCATTTTAAACCCAATGCCCCGACCCCTCTATCTTTTACCATTAGTTGTATCCAAACGTGAAGAACCCATTGTAGAAACACTGGTATTGGGGTTACTTTCAATAAATTTTGACGTTCTTTTATTGGGTGTGAAGGAGAGTTAGCACGATGAAGATGATGAACTGGAGATAGAGATTTGAAAGACCTCAACTTTTCCATTAAAACAGGGGGGGAAAAGAAAAGGGTCAGTACAAAATTGAGTCGAAAACAAATGAATATTTTAATACGGCAATGGCGGTGAGATTAACAAAACAGCAGAGAAATTAACACACTTGAATATTTTTTGTGTATGAATAAAAAAGTGAGCTTTTTGGTAGAGATAAGACAGAAAAAGTTGGCAACTTTGAAAATTGGAATGAAACGGAAAGGGAATGGAGCTTGTGGTCCATTAATGGAGGAATCAGACCGGTGAATCGAGACGTAAAGTTGCATGAGTAAAAGGGGAATAGGTTATACGGGTTAAAAGATAGACGGGTCAAGGCATTGAGTTTAAATTGGGGAATGAATTTTTTTAAAAATTGGGGCTAATTTGAGTCAATTTGAGGTTTTCTGTCAATTGAGGGTATAAATGGTGAAATTAATAACGGCGAGGGTAAAAATAATTTTGTTTTAACGGCAGGGGTATAGTCAACTAATAAACTATAGTTGAGGGGTATTTTTGACCCTTTTCCCCCTTTTATATCATAGTGATAGAATAAGTTATCTCATATATCTACTAACTATTTATTTTATATGTAAATAAAATTTATAATTCATATCATTAGTTTTTAAATTATTTATATCTCATATAACGATTATTCTCACCATCATAAAATTTATTCTTATTTCAAATCAATTCCTATTTTAGCATTTATATTCACCAATTTTATTACTCCCTCCATTTCACAAAGAATGACCTCATTTCCTTTTTAGTCAGTTTCAAAAAGAATGGTCTCTTTCCTTTTTTGGTAACATTTTACTTTTTGCTTTCCACATGGCATGTTTAAGACCACAAGATTAAGGGCAATTTTGTACATTTGACATAACTTTAATTTAGGACCACAAGATTCAAAAGTCTTCTTTATTTACTTAAACTCCGTGCCAAGTCAAACCAGGTCATTCTTTGTGAAACAGAGGGAGTATTTTTATCAAATTTATTTACCAATCAAATTGACCAACAAATTATTAAAAGTAGCAAAATTGATTCGTCTTCTCGATCATATGATCGAGAAATGCAAGTTCAACGTGAGAAGGTTATTTTACTAAGTGTGAGAATTATTTTAAAGACTAGTACACTACAACTTATGTTTAATTTTATTTTTTATTGAATTAAAATTTAATTAATAAAATATTGTACTTTTTAAGAATATAAAGCTTTGTGATAGTGTATTATGTGATTTTATAAATTTTTGCTTATATGATATGCTTGTATAAAGAATTGGGATAATTTTAATAGTTTTACAACTACACAACATTAAAAGTCAAATGCGCATATCCAAACAAAACTTTACTTTCATCTCATTATTCATATTATGATTTCATATTGTATGATCAAACCAACCCTTAGGATCATCTCATGAATTCATATTAAGATCTCATATCATCATTTTATATAACATGGTAAAACGGACCCTTAGGATCCGGAGAGGATTAGGAAAGAAATATCAAAATAACATAACAAGAAGATGTCTAAAATAAATAAGGTCTTGTTAAAGTGTGTTAAGTAAAAAATTGATGCTAACTTGAGGTAGCTATGGATGTTAGGCCTTTAATTGCAAATGAGGCAATCCTTAAAAAGAAAAACCAAAAAGTTGGGCAATAAAGTGACGTGACATATGTATTGTCATGGAATATGAGTAGACAGATGGAGAGAAAGAGGGACCATACCTTCAGTGCATCAAAGGTCGACGTCATTTCAGATGCTCGCTTAGCCACGTGATGAGCGAGGTTCCCGCCGGCACTATCTCCGGCAAGGAAGCAGCGAGACAAATCGACATTTTCCGGCAATAGCTCACGGTTCTTCTCATTGTCAAGGAACTTCAGCACATCAAATCCATCATCATACTGCGCAGGATACTTGTGTTCCGGAGCTAGCCGATAATTAACAGACACAACAACAGCCGGGGTTTTCCTCGCGAAACGGCGGCAAACGGCGTTGTACACCTTTGTATCCGGGCTGAGATACACAAATCCGCCGCCGTGAAAGAAGACAATGATCGGAAGTGAACTCAAATTCCGAGATTCATCTGTAGTTGGAATGAAGAGGCGAAACCAGAGATCGCGAGAAGAATCTACAGTGACGTCGTAGGATTTAACGCCGTTAACTGGATTTGGATTGGCGGAAGTTTTAAGGCCGAAGATCCCGAGTAGCCGGCGGTTAACGGTGCCGTTTTGACGACGAGAATAGTCGGTAATTGTAGAGACGATGGATAGTGCGATTCGTGTTCTCCAAGGAATTCCCGGAGATGAAGCTGATGGTTTCTTCTCTTGTTGCGCCATAATAGATGATGAAAAGAAGAAAACAGAGAGAAATTGTGATGTGTGGAAGCAGAAAAACAGTTGTGAAGAAGCACAATAAGCAAGATTTAAGAGCCTGTTTGGCCAAGCAGTTGGGGAGACCAAAAAGACTTTTCTTTTTTACAAAATGAAACTTATTTTAAATAAAAATAAAAGCCAGTTTTTAAGGTTTGTATGAAAAAAAATAGGAGTAATAATTTAGATAATATAATTTTTTTTAAAATAAGTGAGTTCTTTTTTTAATTGTTTTGAAAAGTAAATAAGAAAATATTATTCTAAAAACAATAATTTGAATTGTGATGATCAAGGGATGAGGGTTGTGTGTTGGTGGAGAGAGAGAAAAACAATATTTGAAAAGTCACTTACACAATTTGATTTCTATTTCTATTAGAAAAATTTTTATTTTTATTTTTAACGAACTTGTTTCTTAAGAAAAGTCATTTTTCAAAAAATTGAAAAATTCTCATACCAAAGAAAAAAAGTTTTTGCTTTTTTTAAATTAAAAAAAAAAAAAACAGGAGCACAAAAAATATATATATATGTTTCATTAATGTATTAATATATCTCGTAATTTTCTTAAATTTCGTTTAAAGATTCTTTTCTTCCTCTTTTCACAATATATTTTTTTTGTTTTATTTTATATTTTATCTATTATTATTCAAAGTTTACCTTTGCATGTAATGGATTTTACCTATTATTATTTATTGGCGATTTTTTATATGCAGTGACTTACTTTGTAGAATGATATTTTTTAAAAATCTGATATTGTTTAGTATATTGAAATCATTATGTTAATATTATATTAAAATTTAATTTATTTATACATTATATTGATTAAAAATGTATAATATGTACTTCTTAATTGGATAAAAGTACAAATATTATTTAAAGTCTTTAATAATAGATATTTAAAATAATTTCTCCTTATAAAATAATTTAATAGTGACTTTAAATAATTTCTCCTTATAAAATAATGTAATAGTAAGGTGCATTGATATCTATCTTTTTTCATGACTCTCAAAAATACCTCTTTAAAAAAGATTGGTCAAATATAATTTGTTTATCACAAACACTTTTCAAATAATTACATATTATCCCACTATTTAATAATTATACACCAAATTTGTAGTCAAACTAGAAACTACATCGCAAAAAGGCAAAAGTAATAGACAAACCTGAACAAGATAATCCTCATCCAGTGAAGATAAACTCACTAAAACTGAAAATCACCTCACAAATTCAGATATGAGTTCATATGCAGTGAGATCATCACTTGAACTCCCATCCCAACATATGTGTAGTCTAGCTGAAGACGTTCTGTTTCTTGCTGTTGAATAGGTCTCTGGCATCTGATTTTGCTTGGCCAAACATTCTTTCCTTGTAGAGATTTGTTCTCCACCCTCAACTTAATCCAATTGATTCTAAAAGCACTAAACTATATTACCATCCAAATAGAAAGTGATAAGTGTTATTTCCACAAAATTGTTACCCTGCAATTTTTAAAAAGAAAAAAGTAGATAAATAGGCATTAAATTGATTCAGTATACCGGAATGGTATTGCCACGTGGATGTTTCCGTGCTCTTCAGGTGCACTTACAATCTGAAGAATAAATAAAGATAAACTAAGTAAGTGAGATTATTAATCTTGAAAAATGCTTCAAAAGAGAACACATTTGAAGTCAAGGAACTACAGATATGAACTTGCAAACACATTTACAAGAGTAATAGGCACTTGGAACGACCAGATGAAACAATTTGAAATAAACATTCACAGTTCCTTCGAGCATCTTCAGCAACACTTGTTGGACGCCGTCCCAGATACATCTTTGCTAATGTTCAGGCTCTCAGCCTATACAGATGAGTGATGAGAATGATTACTTTACAATCAATTATCCAAATTCATAGAGTATATAATGATTTTGGACCTTTTTAGCTATTTTATCAATCTCATCTGTGTGGACAACCCCTTGCTGAGTTGTTTCAGCTTCAACATTGAAATCGGCAACCTCCAAGAATAAGCATGAAAATCAAAATTTATAATTGAAGAACTATGATGCTGATAGTGCAAAAGTGAAGCAGTTTACAAAAGAGAAACCATTCAACTCCTGGTATATTTTAAAGCAGTTTACAAAAGAGAAACCATTCAACTCCTGGTATATTTTAAAAGAAAAATAAAAATAATAAAGAACCTAGAAATGTATTTGATCTTAGCCAAGTATTTCACTATTAAAGACTCCACAAACAATTACAATCCTGGAAAATAGCCTAAAAAGTGACCAAAACATCCATCAGACAACTTTCTTCACTAAACAAAAGACATTGTAGAATCTTGGTAAAAAAATCACAAAGGCATTGTAAATTCTTGAACATACGAAACCACTAAAGTAAAATGAAGATCAATTACCTTGTGAATTACAATCAAGAAACATCAAGAATTCAAATTCTCCAAAATAAAACCCTAAATAACCTAAGATGCAATCAAAAGAGAGAGAATTTCTTTGATTTCACCGAAAATCTTGAAATCACAATATGAATATCCATTGAAAAAAGAGGAAGAGGGAGCTTACTTTAATGCCAGAGAGAGAAGATGGGGATAGTTTCATTCACTTAACTAAAAAACTTGAAATCGCAATACGAATAAGACACAGGGAGAGATTAGTTCAAGTAAACAACCCATGAGAACTTATTTTACTATTAGAAATTGCTGCATAATGTACCTAAACGATTAGTCATCTAAAGTATTAACCAAAATCTTTAAGTTTCTTGAAATTTTAATTTAAGATCTTCATCAATCATTGACTAAATCTTGATAATAATGCACTGCATAAGGTACATGTCATCTCCCGCCTAACCACCAACACCCAATAAAAAAAAAAAGATGAAATAATGCATTCAACTAAATCTTTAAATTTCAGAATCTTGATGAAAAAACATTGTCAATCTTGATGAAAAATACGAAAAAAACAACTAGAATGATCGAAAATCAAGAAACATAACAAGAAGAAGTAGAATTTATCAACAAAAAAAGAGTAATAAATCTCGAGTGGCTGAAGAGAGTAACCCGAATGAAGAAACGAAGTAGCCAATTCCAAACCGATGAAGCCAACTACACTCCCATTAGCCATTATTGAAGCAGAGAAAAACTGAATCAGTGACCTTTTTTGGGGAAGAGAGCAGTGATACGCTCAAATTACACCTCCCTAAAGAAGCATAAGCGATCGTTATCAAGTACAGAACCCAACTTGTAGGTTAGAGTTGATCCCACGAGGAAAATGGTCTAGACTTAACTTTAACCAACAATTATATTCGTTTAGTCAAATTACTTTCAGAAAGAAGTAATTAAAGGGGGGGGGGGGATTTGTGAAACAAATTGTAAGACTTCAGTAAGTAATTCAGTAAACAAAAGTCAATTTGGTTGTTTATCAAGATGAGAGAATTAACTAGGGTATATATGTTCCCCAGAAGCTCATAACACTGTAATCCTATTAATAGCAATCATTTCCTAATGTACTACATGCAAAGTGATAAGTTAGGTATCTCTAAATCCTTGGTCTAGCATCTAGAGAATTTCTCCCCTGATTTGTCTACGTGTGTATAATTTACTAACCCTTACTTTTACCTCATATTAGACATCACATCGATGTTTGGCTTAGTTATTACTTCGCACCAATTGACACTAGACTATTAGATAGTATCACACTAAATATATGTTGATATTTCTTTTCTTGTTGATTACCTCCTTGGTCTGAAATTATGAACTATTAATAGGAAGCTCTTGCCTCTTTGAAATCCCTCCTTCTCTTTGGCAACGATCACAAGACTTGGCAAAATCATAAGCATCTTGGTGGATGATAGGCCAGTAGTACCCACACTGCAAAATGTGATGCGCAGTTTGAATACCACTATGATTCCTACCAACAGGCGATGAATGACATGCTTTAAGTACACTCAACATCTCAACCTCGGGCACACATCGACGAATAATCCCATCAGCACAACTACGATACAAGTAAGGCTCATCCCAAAAGAATTTCTTCACATCATGCATAAACTTTTTCCTTTGGTGAAAAGACAAATTTGGGGGTACCAAATCGCTTGCCAAATATTTAGCAAAGTCTGTGAACCAAGGAATCAGATCATGAGAAGCAACCAATACATGTTCATCTGGAAAAGCATTATTAATTTCAGCACCATCACCAAGCTTTAGCATAGCCTCTTCCTCTAATCTGGACAAGTGATCGGCAACTTGATTTTCGGCCCCTTTCTATCTTTTACCACAAAATCAAACTCTTGCAACAACAATACCTATCTAATCAACCTCGGTTTTGCATCCTCTTTCGTCATCAAATACCTCAATGCAGAATGGTCAGTATGCACTATGACCTTGGTACCAAGAAAGTAGAATCGAAATTTCTCGAATGCGAAAACCACCGCAAGAAGTTCTTGTTCAGTCACATTATAATTCTTCTTGGCCACATTTAGAGCTTTGCTAGCATAGTAAATAGGGTGAAGAATTTTCTCTTTCCTCTGTCCTAATACTACACCAAACGCCACTCCACTCACATCGCACATTACCTCAAACGGTTGTTCCCAATCCGGTGAAATAATGATAGGTGCAGTAACCAACTTCTCCTTCAACTCTCCAAATGCTCTCAGACAAGCATCATCAAAATCAAACTTATACTCCTTTTCGAGTAGTTTGCACAATGGATGTGCAATTTTAGAGAAGTCTTTGATGAACCTCCTATAGAAACCTACATACCCAAGAAAACTTCTAACACCTTTTACAGAGATAGGTGATGGAGGTTTTTCTATTACCTCTACTTTTGCTCTATCAACCTCACTGCCCTTCTCAGAAAACCGATGACCCAAAACTATCCCTTCTTTCACCATAAAGTGGCACTTCTCCCAATTTAGCACCAGATTGCAGTCTTCACACCTTTTAAAAACCTCAGTCAGATGATCCAGACATCGATCAAAAGAGTCACCTACTACAGAGAAATCATCCATGAACACTTCAATAGTTTCCTCCATCATATCAGAAAATATCGACATCATACAGCGCTGGAAGGTCGCTGGAGCATTGCACAACTCAAAATGGCATCCGTTTAAAAGCAAAAGTCCCATAAGGGCAAGTGAAGGTGGTCTTCTCTTGGTCTTTCGGAACTATAGAAATTTGATTGTAGCCTGAATACCCATCAAGAAAATAATACTAACCCTTGCCTGCAAGTCTATCCAACATCTGGTCCATGAATGACATAGGAAAGTGGTCCTTCTCTGTCCACGCATTCAACTTCCGGTAATCCATGCAGACTCTTCATCCGGTCACGAGCCGCATCGAAATAAGCTCGTTTCTCTCATTTCGAACCACAGTAATACCATATTTTTTAGGCACACACTGCACAGTACACACCCAATTACTATCTGCAATAGGATAAATAACTCTGGCATCCAACCACTTGATGATCTTCTTTTTTACTACCTCTTGCATATGTGGATTTAATCTTCTATGTTGCTCGATACTAGGCTTGTGATCTGGCATGAGTTGAATTTTGTGAGAATAAATAGCGGGAGCAATCCCAATAATATCCGCAATAGTCCACCCAATAGCTCGCTTGAACCTCTTTAACACAGTCACCAAGCACTCTACTTGTCTCACATTTAAATCTGCTGCAATGATGACCGGCAAAGTATTATCTCTACCCAAGAATACATACCTCAAATGCGGTGGTAGAGCCTTAAGCTCCAATTTCGGTGCCTCCACAATAGATAGTCTCGCGGGTGGGGACTCACGATTCTTCATGTCTAACTCATACCTCTTTGGTTTTGACCGATATTCGCCTCTATCGAGTGCAGCTACCAACTCATCGTACTCTTCAATACCATCACTATCAAAATTTATCATAAATGCTGCTAGTGCCTCAAAACCTAGTCACTCTTCAATTTGCACTTCTGTTCCACTTTCAACTCTGTAAGTTATAGCAGATACCATTTGGAGCTCACCACCCTTCTTCATGGAATACAAATATTGAAAGTTGTTTTTTCATTGTTCAGTTTGAACTTCATCTGCCCCTTCTCCATATCAACCAACGCACGCCCTGTGGAAAGGAACAGTCTCCCAAGGATGATGGGAAACTCAAAATTAACCTCACAGTCAAGAATCACAAAATTCGTAGGAAAGATGAACGACTCCACTTTCACAAGCACATCATGGAGTACACCAATGGGCCTTTTTCACGGTTCGATCGACCATAAGTAACCGCATCGTAGTAGGCTTTGGATCCCCTAGACCCAACTTCTTATAAATAGACAATGGCATGAGGTTGATGCTAGCACCAAGATAACACAATGTCTTAGCAAAGTGTAACAACCCTATAGTACATGGAATCGTGAAAGCACCAGGATCTTCTTTCTTCTACACAAGTGACCTTGTAGCAATAACGTTACAATGCTGCAATCTATCATCATCTTCAAAACTCACAGACTTTTTCTTTGTCACCATATCTTTCATAAACTTCGCATACCCATGCATTTGCTCCAAAGCTTCCATCAACGGAATGTTGATGGAAAGCTGCTTCAACATAGTAAGAAACCTGCGATATTTACCATCTTCAGTCTTCTTCACTAACCTCTGTGGAAAAGGTGGTGGACGTCTAGGTATGGGGATCACTTTCTGAGATATATTCGTTTCTTTATCTGTCGCATTCTCAGACTCTTCTCTAACCTCTACCACTTCATTTTCTTTTCTAATCTCAACATCCACCACAGACGGTATAGGTAGATCAATAGTTTGCTTACCCCCTCAAGTAGTAACTACCATACAATGACCATTATTCTTTGGATTCTGGATGGTGTTGCTAGGAAGAGTGCCAGGTTGACGTGGGTTCACTGTAGTAGACAACTGAGTCATCAGTTGCTCTAGATGCTTTATTGACACTGCATGGGCATCAACATTTTGACCAATACCAGCCAAATTATTTCTCATGTCCTTCACATTCTCATCAGTTGCATCAAACCTTCTCATAATCTTCTGCATCATATCTTCAATACGCGCCATATTGCCTACAGCTTCCCTAGTACTAGATTCCCAATTTTGTGGGGAGGGGGGGAACATAAGGTCCAACCCGATCGTTTTTGGTGCCATAGTTGTTCCGGTTGTAGTTGTTGTCGCGATTGAAGTTCCCATCCCTGGCATATTGACCCTCTCGGTTGTAATTGCCATTGTTCCTACCTTGGTTTCCCTGACCTTAGTGCCAATTGTCCGTGTTGGATCCTTGGGAGGCTGGTCAGAAACCCCCTGTCTGATCATTCACCGCATAAGCATCATCTTCATAGTAACACTCTTCAACTAGTGGTGGAGTTCTAGTCAAGTAGTTCACAACATTTACCTTTTTCGCACCTCCGCTCACATGTTTCAATACCAATCCCAACTTGGTCCCCATCTGAGTCATCTCCTCACGAATCTCATCCGCAGACTGGTTGTTTGTAGCATGAACGGCAAATGTATTTCTCCCAGTAACCGACCTCCTGGTACTCCATGCTTTATTGTTGCGAGAGATCTTCTCTAGTTTTTCTGCAATCTGTGCGTATGTGCACTCACCATATGAGCCTCCAACAATAGTATCAAGCACTGTTTTATTGTTATCATCCTAACCTCGATAGAAATATTCCTTCAGCAACTCATCATCAATACGGTGATTTGGAACACCTCTTATGGACGCAGTGAATCTGTCCCAAGAGCTACTCACAGACTCTCCAGGTAATGCTACAAAATTGTTGACCTTATCTTTGTGATTGAGCTTCTTGGATACTGGATAATATCTTGCTTAAGAACACATCCTTCAGTTGGTTCCATGTATAAATTGAGTTATAAGGAAGCTCAGTGAACCATACAACAGCATCGCCTGTCAATGATAGAGGAACACTCGCAATCCGATGACATCCATATCCAAGTCTGGTTGACCTACACAGCTCTTGCAAACCACCCTTAGCTTGGCAATGTGAGCATGTGGGTCCTTCGATGGCAACCCGAAGATCAAGCCCCTCGATGTAAGCATCTGCATCAAGCTACTAGTCACCACAAATATATCCCCCGGAGGCAAAGGCAAAGTGGGTAGGACAAAAGGTCCATCAGAGTTAGCAATATTGACATTACCCCTATAATTGTCATGCAATCGTGGGCCTGGTGGATCCTGCACCCTCAATGCATCTCCCAATTGATTTTCAGCTGGAACCTGGTTGTTCCCACCAACTACCCTCGGATGTTGCAACTCAACTTCATCACCTGGATTGCCTCCGAAAGGATTAACTGGAACTCCTTGATTGTTCATTCTTCGCAAAGTTCGGTTCAACTCTGGATCGTAAGGAGTAAGTGGTTCACCTTGGCTTCGTGTACTTGACATACACTAGAGTCAGAACCTGAGAGAGACAAAAACAAAAAGAAAAAGTAAAATTAGGAAATATTTGACTAAAGTTCAATAATGCAGTTAAAATTAATCTAAAAGCCAAAAATCCCGAGCAGCGGCGCCAAAATTTGATACGCTCAAATTACACCTCCCTAAAGAAGCATAAGCGATTGTTATCAAGTACAGAACCCAACTTGTAAGTTGGGGTCGATCCCACGAGAAACATGGTCTAGACTTAACTTTAACCAACAATTATATTCGGTTAGTCAAATTACTTCCAGAAACAAGTAATTAAAGGGGGAAAATTTGTGAAACAAATTGTAAGAATTCAATAAGTAATCAGTAAACAAAAGTCAAATTTGGCTGTTTATCAAGATGAGAGAATTAACTAGGGTATGAGTGTTCCCCACCAGCTCATAACGCAGTAATCCTAGTAATAGCAATCATTTTCTAGTGTACTACATGCAAAGTGATAAGCTAGGTATCTCTAAATCATTGGTCCCGACATCTAGAGAATTTCACCCCGCACCTTGGTTCGGCTACGTGTGTATAATTCACTAACCCTTACCTTTACCTTATATTAGACATCACATCGATGTTTGGCTTATTTATTACTTCACACCAATCGATACTAGACTATTTAGATAATATCACACTAAATCTATGTTGATAATTCTTTTCTTGTTGATTACCTCCTTGGTCTGAAATTATGAACTATTAGATAGTATCACACTAGACTATTAGATAGTATCACACTAAAGAATTATGAACTTACGTAATTAAGAATAACAAACTCGGAATTTCAATACCAAAATCTTCAAAACCAACTTAGGAAATCAAGAACTGTTGGGTTTGCAAGTTAATCTCCCAAGCCAAAAACTAGAATAAAAATAATAATGTCTAACCCTCAAAAACGAGGTTTACATACCCTATTTATAGAAAACAAGTCCTAAATTAAAAGGGAAACAAAACAAGGAAAGTTTGTTCAGGCACGCGTCTTCATTCCACGAGACTGACTCACGGATCGTCAATGGATCTACGGTCCGTGAGTCCCTTCCGTTAGCCAGGACTTGGAAAATATTTCAGCTTCCAAAAATTAACTTCTCTGAAGCAAACGATGCAACACCCGTCGATCCCTATCCGTAGCTCCATACTTGGAATTTTCCAAAAATCAGGTACTGGAAACCTCGCAGTCACATTCTACGGTTCAGCGAGATTAATTATGTTAGTTAGTTAACAGTTAAACTTCACAGAGTTAGTTAGTTAACAGATTCTGTTAGTTAGTTAGATTTTCGTTTATGTTTTGATTAGGAACTTTCTAGATTCTCTCAAGTTGTATAAATGTGACACATTGTATGCAGTTTTACAGTTGATTTTTATCATTCAGAAATGAGAAAAGTCTATCTTCTCAATTGATCCTCTCTAACTGATTTAATACAGTATGTTCTGGAATCCACCATTAATGGTGGATCTTCATGCTCAATATTGAGTTTTGTCATGGTATCAGAACAGGTAATCGATCATCCCTGATTTTCTCATCTTTTTACTGAAGAATCGCTGCTCCAGTTATTTCAGGTTCCTCCAATCGCATCAATTTGTTTTTCCTCTCTTGTTGTTCTTCGTCACCTTCTTCATTGTTCGCTTCTTCAAAAAAAAATTCTCTGATCTGCTACAATGGTGGAAGTCACTGATCTAAGGGTTACTAAAACGATTGAAGTAGGTAGTGTTTTGTACCTACATCCATCTGACAGTCCAGGTGCTTCTCTCGTACCAGATCCTTTCGATGGGATTGGATATCGATCCTGGAGAAGGGGCATACTTAGATCATTATCTGTAAAAAATAAGCTAGGGTTCATAAATGGCGAATCTAAGAAACCACCTTCTAATGATCCAGAGTATAGGCAATGGGAACAATGTGATGACATGGTTACGTCTTGGATCCTTAACTCCCTAAGCAGAGATATTGTTGATAGTGTCGAATACGTAGACAATGTTTTGGAACTATGGAATGATTTGGAAGATCGTTATGATCAGACTAATGGTGCCAAGTTATATCAGATTCAAAAGGAAATCAATGATCTCGTTCAAGGCGTTTTGGATATCACAACTTACTACACTAGGATGAAGAAACTTTGGGAGGAATTGAGCAGTTTATGCATAAAGAGTCACTGCAAATGTGCATGTACTTGTGGAGCAAAGGATCTTATGCACAAAGTCGAACAGGATAGGAGGTTAATTCAATTTCTCATGGGATTAAACGAAGTTTACACAATAATCAGAGGAAACATATTAATGATGAATCCTCTTCCATCAATGGCACAAGCTTTCGCCCTATTGATTCAGGAAGAGAAACAACGAGAGTTTAAGCCAAATAATCAATTGTTTGCTGAATCCAGTTCTCTTCATGCTAGTACTTCAGGCACATCGTCAGGAGGCATTTTTGCTGCTAATACTTCAGGAAGTAAGGATTTCAAACCCAATTACTCTTCTTCTTCTTCTCACAGAGGCAGACCTTTCTGTGATCACTGTAAGAGACCAGGTCACATCAAAGAAAAATGTTATAAGCTACATGGACCAAACACATTGAAGTGGATTGCCATTTTGTCAGATCCAAGCTCCAAGAAGGCTTAATTTCACTTCATCACATCAACACTTGTGATCAGTTGGCCGATATTCTCACAAAAGCTTTAACTGGAATCAAACATACTGCTATGCTGAACAAGTTGGGTGTGATTACCTCACTTCCAACTTGAGGGAGGGTGTTGAGATTAATTATGTTAGTTAGTTAACAGTTAAACTTCACAGAGTTAGTTAGTTAACAGATTCTGTTAGTTAGTTAGATTTCCGTTTATGCTTTGATTAGGAACTTTCTAGATTCTCTCAAGTTGTATAAATGTGACACATTGTATGCAGCTTTACAGTTGATTTTTATCATTCAGAAATGAGAAAAGTCTATCTTCTCAATTGATCCTCTCTAACTGATTGAATACAGTATGTTCTGGAATCCACCATTAATGGTGGATCTTCATGCTCAATATTGAGTTTTGTCACAAAACATAATAAAAACACATAAAAAACAAATCTAAAAAGGCCCTAGACACACACAACTCTTAAGTGAAATGTATCAAAAATACTGTAAACTCACGGTATATCAAGCAGCGTGGAATGTGTTTGAGTTGGTAATTCCCTTTATATAAAGAGCAGCTTCAATTTGACACACTTGTTTATTTAATATGTTTGTGTTCATTATAGAAACACTGCTATCGTCTTTTTGACGTTTAAATTTTATTTAATTGTTATAAATAAAAATTATATTAAAAAATATTATTATTTTTCAGAAATTAAGGATTACAAACACATTTAAATTATTTAAGAGAGAGAGGTACGTATATGATTTCTATAGACTTGAAAATTCGACAAAACAATATATTCCAGCAAGATCAATTTGATATCACTTTTTATATTTATTTATTTTCCTATGCACTTATTCTATTTTTACTTAGCATTATGCAGATGATTGATTGTACATGAATAAATGTACGAAACTTTAATGATTTTGTAACAATATATGAATATATTGTTATAATATTACAGACCAAAGCAAATAAAAAATTAAACTGAAATAAAAACGTAAAAATAATTAAATGAAATGAGAAAACACGTAGAGAAAAAAATAGACATATCAAAAAATAAACGAGAAAGAAAGAAGAAGAAGAAGAAGAAGAAGAAGAAGAAGAAGAAGAAGAAGAAGAAGAAGAAGAAGAAGAAGAAGAAGAAGAAGAAGAAGAAGAAGAAGAAGAAGAAGAAGAAGAAGAAGAAGAAGAAGAAGAAGAAGAAGAAGAAGAAGAAGAAGAAGAAGAAGAAGAAGAAGAAGAAGAAGAAGAAGAAGAAGAAGAAGAAGAAGAAGAAGAAGAAGAAGAAGAAGAAGAAGAAGAAGAAGAAGAAGAAGAAGAAGAAGAAGAAGAAGAAGAAGAAGAAGAAGAAGAAGAAGAAGAAGAAGAAGAAGAAGAAGAAGAAGAAGAAGAAGAAGAAGAAGAAGAAGAAGAAGAAGAAGAAGAAGAAGAAGAAGAAGAAGAAGAAGAAGAAGAAGAAGAAGAAGAAGAAGAAGAAGAAGAAGAAGAAGAAGAAGAAGAAGAAGAAGAAGAAGAAGAAGAAGAAGAAGAAGAAGAAGAAGAAGAAGAAGAAGAAGAAGAAGAAGAAGAAGAAGAAGAAGAAGAAGAAGAAGAAGAAGAAGAAGAAGAAGAAGAAGAAGAAGAAGAAGAAGAAGAAGAAGAAGAAGAAGAAGAAGAAGAAGAAGAAGAAGAAGAAGAAGAAGAAGAAGAAGAAGAAGAAGAAGAAGAAGAAGAAGAAGAAGAAGAAGAAGAAGAAGAAGAAGAAGAAGAAGAAGAAGAAGAAGAAGAAGAAGAAGAAGAAGAAGAAGAAGAAGAAGAAGAAGAAGAAGAAGAAGAAGAAGAAGAAGAAGAAGAAGAAGAAGAAGAAGAAGAAGAAGAAGAAGAAGAAGAAGAAGAAGAAGAAGAAGAAGAAGAAGAAGAAGAAGAAGAAGAAGAAGAAGAAGAAGAAGAAGAAGAAGAAGAAGAAGAAGAAGAAGAAGAAGAAGAAGAAGAAGAAGAAAGGAAGTACATAAAATAAAGATTTAGTAAATATCAGATTATGGTGTAAAAAAACAAAGAATAAAATAATTTGAAAAAATTTAAATCAACAAAGAAACATAAAAAGAAAAAAGAAAAAGAAGAGAATTAAAAAAGAGTTAAATAACTAAGAATCTCCAACCTATCTCTATTTTACTCTGCATTCTTTTTATATTTGAAAAGTAAAATAGAGAATTGGATCTTCAGTCACCCTCTAAAAAGTTCTCTATTCTCTATTTATAGAGAGGTGAATAGTAGTTCTCTAAATTTGGAGAATTACTATTCACCTCTCTATTTCACTTTTTAAATATTTTAATACTAGTAAAATAATTCGTGTCACACGCAAAAATTTATTATCACAAAATTTATAAAATAATACTTAAAGTTTGTCAATCATTAAAACTAAAACCCTATATTATCTTACATACAAGATTACGTAATAACGAACATTAATAATGTAAAGGAAAATGATAATTATACCACAACTCTCATGTTAGTTCGAACAGGTGCTCCGAATCCAATTAAAGAATCTTGTCGTCTGGGAGTAAAGGAATGATAAGTTGAACCATATTAAATCAATTAACCTAAATGTGTTTCATAAAATTAGTTGAGTTTGACAGATAACCTTTCTGAAGTGTCTTCTCTAAACAAACAAAAGCTCCTGCACAAGTAAAAATGATAGCTTTAGTTATCTGCAGATTAGTGTATGAAAAAAATATAAAGAGCAGCCAGCATCTAGAAAGAACAGTGATGAGGCCCTTAAGAACCTAAGACACAATTAGTGGGTATCATAGGAAAATCATGAAATCCCAATATGAAAATCCCTCAAAGAAAGAAGAGAGAAAACAAACTTTAAGCAATGCAACACACACTGGTTATTAATCTTCATATATTTTAAGAAAATAAATAACACCATCCAATCGTATAACAACAGGTATTCTTTATATATTTTAAAGGAAAATACATTAAGATACACTACTACTTAAACTTAGCCTAAAGTAAATTCTTACCCACTTAATTATGTAATTGTACAGATACCATTTTTTTATTTATAAAATAGTCATATGTATATGTAATGTGTCAATACTGTATAATTGTGTATATATTATGTATAACTATGTATCAGAGATGTATATACACCCTCATACACTATTTATATAAGACTTCTACAACAATAGTTTATCTTCCTCAATGAACTGATAACTTTTTTCAATATAATTATGAAAACATTACGTGTATTATTCAAAATTTAAAAAGTATATTTAACATTTATATATAGATTTCAAAATTTATCATGTATAGAAATGTGAAAATTATTATAAATTGAAATGCTTAAAATAAAAAACAAAAGAAGTAAAAGAAAAAAATGTTTGGATAAGAAATTTCGACTCAATAGATAAGGTGCAAAGTGCACTTTGGCTGAAATCAGTAATTTATAATATTTGATAAGCAATTTTTACTCAATAGATATTTTGTCCAATTTTTTAATTATTTATAGTTATTTAAGTTCTACATCACAAGATCAAGTATTACAAGTTGATTAAACAGTTATATATATATATAGACATTTTAAACAATTAAATTTTACACAAATTTTGTAGTGTTAAGAGCAAATTGCATCATATTCCTACTCTTATTTAAATTACAAAAAAAAATATGATGAAATTCAGATACATCCCAAAAACTTCCCAATACATCACGTTCCGGTTTCGGATACATTGCTCAATATCCCAATACATCGAGTCTCAGATTCGAATACATCATTCAACGTCCTGGTACATCGCGTACTCCCAGATACATCGTGTAAAGTGATGTATCCAACTGATACATTGCGTAAAGTTATGCATCGAACCCCGATACCTCGCGTAAAGTTATGCATCCAATCCAGTAAATTGCATAAAGTGATGTATCATACCTCAATACATTGCGTAAAGTGATGTATCCGAGAATAAGAGAGAGCAGGAATTTTGTAATTTTTTTAAACTGTGAGAAATTTTAGAGAATATGATAAAATAAATTGTGTATTTAGGTTTTTTTTTTTCCATGATCTTATATAAAAGAGAGAGAAAACCTTGTTGAAACATTTTACATCGAGTACTTAGTACTCAAGTCCTATTACACATTTATTATTGGCCCATAAAAGAAGCCCAAAACTAAATACATCACCATAGGCCCATTATTGCATCTGGGCCTTTATACATTCGACCCAAACAAAGCCTTGACAACTCCAACAAAATCATGTTTGTATCCATATTCTGCATGGAAATGTTTTGGTGGAATAATCTTTGTGTACACATAAAAGGCTACACAACTAATAGTAGGCCCAATCCAAAAGATCCAATGTCCATCCCAAAGGTGACCTCCTCTAACAATCGCGGGCCCCAAACACCTTGCCGGGTTCATCCCTACCCCGGCGTAGCCCCTTTTCGCGGTAACCGTGGTTGAGATAAATACTAGAAGTCCTAACACTAGACCAACAATGGACAAGACAGTGACAAGGCCTAGAGCCTTAGCTTGTCGATGATCATAAGCCATCCAAATTGAAGCAAAGAGTAAAACAAACGTACAAAAGATCTCAAGCCACAAGGCTTGGGCCGTCTCTAGGCCCAAAGTAACAGGCCCATTTGGGCCCGGTGCAATTACTGTAATAGTGCAACCACCAAGTGAGAAAGTTTCGTCAATTGTTGAACTAACCACTGCTTTGAGAGCTAGTGCACCTAAAACAGCACCAAGACATTGAGCCACAATGTAAATTATGGCTCTTGACATAGATATAATTCCGACTAGCGCAGCTGAGAAGGAGATAACCGGGTTGAGATGGCCTCCGGACACTGGAACAACCGCCAGGAGTAGAATTGTGAGCACAATTGCTATGAGAATTGACATTATCAAATTTGACATTTTCGTGTCACTTTCTGAAGTAGAGATCACTATAGTATCCACCATGAAAACAAGTACCGCTGAGCCTAGGAGTTCTCCCATCGACGCTCGCCATACCTATATTAAAAAAAGTTTAATTTTTAGGCTTTGATAAATATGGTCAATTAATTAGTGATTGAAATCAAAATATATTACTAACATCCAAAGAAAAGAAGTCAGGAACTCCCAGTCTTTGAGAGAGTGAGAGAAAATTTTGCTTCTTTCCCTCATCATCAATTATACTCCTGCTAATAGGAGTGAGATAATAAATATTAGTTGAGTGACCATCTGAGAAATCAAACCTAACAAAATTAAAGGAAAGATGATGGTAAATCAAACAAGAAATTAATTTCACACTTACTTTTTTGGTGTGGAAGAGTAAGGTTGAACTCTATTATTACCCCCAGAAAGCTGGCTTTCTTCATCACCGAAACAAACATTATTGTTGGAACCCATTTTTTAGGAGAAAACTAAGATAGTTGCTAAGTATTTATCTTAAGCTTTTAATGCATTTTCCCTGAAATATTGTGCATGGATATGGGGTTATAAATATTCCTTTCCAACTACCACTGCCTAACCTATCTTTCGTTGTTACTAAAATACAAGAAAAGAAGAAAGTTACGTCTACGTATATATATATATCAAGCAAAGGAGATCTCTTAGCCAATTTTATTGGAGGAGTCCATTCATTTTGTTAAATATGCACTATTGGTAGTCAAAACTGTTATACTCTTAAAAAGTGAAAATAAGAAGTACATAAAAGAAGATCTACGGGGCGTAGTCTCATGTATATTCAATTTTATAGTTTTATTACTAATAAAATAAGTAGAAGTAAACCTTTCAATGATTTCACAAATAAATATTTATAAATAACCTATAATATATAGAAATTATATTATGATTTTCATTTGAGACAAGTATTAATAATCAATAATGAAGAAAAAAAATATTATAGTTACTATTTGAGAAATGTCATTACACCAATGACAAAAAGATATGATTTAAAGCAAAAAAGAATTAAAAATTCCCGGGCCTACGTTTCTACGCCCAGGATTTCCGTTTTTATGCTCGAGGCTTACACCTCAAATTTTAGAACTTACGCCTTATGGATCTACGCATTTAATTTACGCACCAGAGCGTTTTTTATACGCCCCGCCCCGAGACTCGCCCCAAAAAGATTTCTGAAAACACTGACACTTAACAAAATAGTTCCACTAAAATAGGGTAATAGGACCCCCCTCGTAAAGTATTAGTGTGTAGTTGAGAATTGATTAATAGATTGAGGGATCATTTGGCCATTTTCTCAAAATTATGTGAAGTTTTCATCGTCACTTACTTAATATTTATAATATAATATTTTATATAGATATTTGATTTACATAAAATTCTTCTTTAGTTTTTAAAATTTCGTACTCAAACAAACATGATCGTATGAAATTTCGACCAGCCTTCTTCATTTGTTTAGCATTTCCCATCAATTAACAATTAATTAGTCAATCAGCCAATTACTTGAATATGTAAATGACAAATGATAATTTAGTTTCTTCATTAACTAATATTAATTTCTATAACAGAAAGAGAAAAAAAAAACTTATTGATACATAATTGATAAAATTAAATTTAAGCTTTAAATTACATTGAGTGGGTACTGGGTAGGCCCATTATTGAGTCTGGTCAATAAAGCTAAATACAACAATTATTGCATTTGGGCCTTTATACATTCGACCCAAACAAAGCCTTAACAACTCCAACAAAATCATGCTTGTATTCATATTCTGCATTGAAATGCTTTGTTGGAATGATCTTTGTGTACACATAAAAGGCTACACAACCAATAGTTGGCCCAACCCAAAAGATCCAATGTCCATCCCAAAGGTGACCTCCTCTAACAATAGCGGGCCCGAAACACCTCGCCGGGTTTATCCCTGCCCCGGCGTAGCCTTTTTTGGCGGTGACCGTGGTCGAGATAAACACTAGAAGGCCTAACACTACACCAACAATGGACAAGACAGTGACGTGTCCAAGAGCCTTAGCTTGTCGATGATCATAAGCCATCCAAATTGAAGCAAAGAGAAAAACAAATGTACAAAATATCTCTAGCCATAAGGCTTGGGCCGTCTCTAGGCCCACAGTAACAGGCCCATTTGGGCCCGGTGCAATTACTGTTACAGTACAACCACCCAATGAGAAAGTTCCTTCAATTGTTGAACTAACCACTGCTTTGAGAGCTAGTGCACCTAAAATTGCACCAACACATTGTGCCATTATGTAAATTATGGCTCTTGACATGGATATAATTCCAACAAGCGCAGCTGAGAAGGAGATAACCGGATTGATGTGGCCTCCAGACACCGGAACAACCGCCAAGAGTAGGATTGTGATTATAACTGCTGCGAGAATTGACAAAATCAAATTTGGCATTTTCGTGTCACTTTCTAAAGTGGAGATTACTATTGTATCCAACATGAAAACAAGAACCGCTGTGCCTAGAAGTTCTCCCATTGACGCTCTCCATACCTATATAAGAAGAAAAAAAGTTCATTTTTTATGTACTGACGATGATCGATTTATTTATTAGTGATGAAATCAAAATGTATTACTAACATCCAAAGAAAAGAAGTCAGGAACACCAAGTCTTTCAGAGAATGAGAGAAAATTTGGCTTCTTTCCCTCATCATCAATAGTACTCCTGCTAAATAAATACATAATTAATTAGGAGAAATTAAAGGAAAGATGATATAATAAATCAAAGAAGAAATTAATTTGGCATACTTCTTTGGTGTAGAAGAGCAAGGTTGAACTTTATTAGTCCCACAAGAAAGCTGACTTTCTTCATCACCAAAAACAACATTATTATTGGAACCCATATTTGGGAGAAAAACTAAGATAGTTTCAAATATTTAGCTTAAGCTTTTAATGTATTTTCCCTGAAATTATGTGCATGGATATATGGGTAATAAATAATATACTCTCCAACCTCCATAGTATATATATTATAATATAAAAAAAATAATCTGTCTACGTGTATATATCAAGCAAGGAGATCTCTTGGACAACTTTTTTTTATTATAGGAATTAAAAAATCATTTTTTTATTAATTATTTTGTTAAATATTTGTTATAATATGGTAGTGCTACAACAAGTAAAGATGTGACAGTTACTAATAATTAAATTAATAGGCTTTTATGATTAGGAAAAAATTTTAGTATGCTCTACTTCCCACCCTCTTCTTTAATATCTACGAGTTCCGAGAATATATAAAGTATTATTGAAAGGAGAATATTTTAGTTATCGTGCTTCTTAAAAATAGTTGGTTTAAAATAATTATTATTTTGAAAATTAAGAGATGATAAATTGTTTATTTTTATTTTATCTTTACTCAATAAATTTAGTGAAAAAAGGGTATTTTTTTTTATAATTTTCATTTTAAGAGTCTAACGATATGAATTTTGATCAATATGTAAGGATATATTTTAACCAAATTGATATGAGAAATATTGCAATTTATAATACTTTTCATATACACTACATCAAAAATTATCTTTAGCGGCAATTAATTAACGGCAATAGCTTTATTGCAATTAAATATGTACTTTTAGCAGCAATTAACACTCTTTATATATGTCCCTAAAGCCTTTAGCGACATTGAATCCAATAACAATTAACTAATGCAGGTAAAGACTTTGAAACTCATTGTTAATGTGTATATTTATTGCCGCTAAAAGGTGTTTTTGTTGTAGTGATAGTTTTTGAATATTTAAATTTTAATTTCAAAATATCGAATCAATCTAATCTAATTTAGCTTTGAAAAATAGTCAAATTGACTTTCAAGAAGCGAAATGTACAACTATTTTGAAAGGATGGAGTATTAAATTGAAATCAAAAAATAAATAAGGATAATTTAATCAAATTACTCCATCAATTATTATTTTCTTAAGGAACATGCAAGAAAAAACATGACAAGTCAAATGATCAGAGGTAATATTTAATTGTCTTAACCAAAAAAAAAAAAAACCTAAACTAGTTTCTCTCCCGTCCCACTTTATGTAAAATTGTTATTGTTTGGGGATGGGTAGAATATGTTTAAAATTTTTCTTTGACAATGTAATTTCCTCAAACTTTCTTTAAATATTTTGAATCATTATTTATGTTAACATAGTATGTTTCATGTAATTTTCATTTCAAAACATTTGAAGAAAAAACAGTATATGTAAATTTATAATCGAAATTAAGTGATTTAACTTTTGTATATTGAATCCCTTCCCATAAATTAGGAGTAATAAAATATCATTTATCTCTCTTACAAAAAGTCAAGTATTTGGAAACTAATTAAGTAATATGGATAGACAATTGATGTTGGGAAGTGGAGGTTAAAAAAAAATAGATACACCAAATGTTAAAACCTGTAAATTAAAGAACACGTACAATCGTGGAAAATTATTGTTATGTATATAGAAAAATCACAAGGGAAACTAAATATCCAATAATAGAGATGGAGATCAATTATCTTATCTAACAGAGTGTGTCATAAATATTTCCCTATTTGTATGGAAGTATCAACCATGAGACTTGGGATTTGCATCGTTGGCTCCATGATATGTGGTTTAACTATTCTCTCCGTTCACTATACTATTTTGAGATATTCAACAATACTTGTCTACTTTATAAAATTAATGGATAATTTCACACTAAGTTTCTAATTTATCTTTATTATTAATTATAGACTATAGTCATTTTCCTAGTATATTTTCAAGACATTATATTTATTATATTTAAAGGGTGATATACAGTAAAACCTCACCAAATTAATATTTGATAAATTAATAATCTCTCTAAGATAATATTTTCTTCCGGTCCCGACTTGGGCCAATGGAAAAAAATCACTTATTTCGATAACACAATAAAATAATATATTTTCAGAAGATCCCTATATAAATATATGGTCTCATTAATATTACAAATTAATAATTCTTGAAAGTACTAATATATCTAAGATGATTACGAGAAATGTGATTCTATTGTGTTTTGTTTTTTGTTAAACTTTTAATAAAGTTCATCTCTAACTTTTCTTATTGCATCCAAAAGTTCTAGTGTTATCTTTTTGAACTGCACCATAATATTGTGAAGAGTTCTAGATACGATAAGTGTTTCCTTACGCATAACTGGTTTTAAAGGTATTGTATCATCTACAATTTCATCGTCAATACTATTTTTAATGGTATCCACAATTTCTTATAAGCTCTAGACCACTGAATATGTATCATTGTCACTTGGATAATTAAATAGGTTATTGATGTCCATTTTATTGCGCTAACCGAGATCATTAATCATGACCTCAAGTTTATAAATGACGTTTTCACAAGTGGGTGAGTTCATTCAAATTCTCTGAGATTTCATCCTCCACACAAATTTTGTAGTGTCGAAAATAATTTGTTGTTGTCTTTTGCTGAACATTTGTCGTCCAAACCAGGATTGCAAAATTCATAATATCCAAAACAT